ATGGCCTTAGATTTTTCAAGGAATCTGATTTGACGAGTGATAATCTGTTGAAACTTCAATATTTAAAATATAATATAACCCCTTCAATTCATTCAATATTTAAATTGTTCAAAAATATTTTGAACTGATATCGCCATCTCGTAATCATAAGCTAAACTTTTAAATCAAGAATGAAAACTAACAAAACGTAGAATTTACTGCAAATTAGTGTAGCTATTGGTTAAGAGATGACAGAACATCAACACTCATAATTATATCTTTTTTGGCGAATTTTCTGGCAGATCCGTCTCTATTGATCGAATGTGTCAATGAAATCTACCAAATAAAAAAAGGTTATGAAATACATATATTTATTTATAATTTTCTCTGAAAACTAAACAAAAATAATAGGATTCTAGATTACATTAGCATTAAAGCTGTGAATTTCAATTTTTACCACTTTCACTGAAAACAACAAAAATTGAGAATATGGGATTTTGCATAAAAGGGGATCTATGACAAGCACAAAAAATAAGGTCAACTTATCTTCACTAAGACCTTGAAATTTATACAACAGGCACAACAAAAATTAAATTGAAGAAAATATTCCCAATAGAAAATTTGAAATATCTCTGCACAAAATTTTTCGTTGAAAAAAAATATTATTTTATTTACATCTCAAAAATTCGCCAAGTCTTCTTCAGACACTTTGTGCCGAAGAATGACATAAATTTCAAATTAAAAAAAAATTTTAAAATTTCAGGAACTGACAAAGATAAAATAACGACTGAATTGAGCTCCTTGTGGAGCTCCCAATTTGCTATGGAGCCTTTCTAAAGCCATGTTTGGTTTGGCCAGTACTGGCAACTTGCGTCGAGCAACTTTTCAATGTATATTACTTGAGTAATTTTCAACACCTCAAAACGTGTTTCGATCATCAAGTGATCATCTTTGAGAGGAAGATTAAAAAACTGTTTTACTTGGTGATCAAAACATGTGTCGAGGTGTTTAAAAATAACGCTTTGGTGTTGGGATAAAACTCCAGAAAATCAAAGGAGCACATGTTCATACCTGTCTCCGAACACTGACGATTCAAACATTGCTCTTAATTTTCCAGTTGCAACTTTGTCGTGGCTGTACCATGTCACCAGGCATCGAAGTATTCATTGAAGTTGTTGAATTGTGCCACCAAAAGTTTCTCAAAACTTTTGCGATTATGTAGAGATGATCAAAATAATTGTGTGGATATTTTTTCAACCTGTCTAAAGGCCTTGTGCTAATCATTGAATGGGCTCGACAGTTTTCGTAAGAAAACTGTTCAAATTTTGTTTTATGAAAAACCTCATTATAGCCTGGTGGCATTCTATAATAATAATCTTGATCAAACAATTTATAGTTTCGCTCATAGTACATTTACATTTTGAAACTATTATTTTGAATACATTTTCAACAATGTTAACTATTTATCTGTAATGTTTCTTGTCTTTATAAGGACTAGAGATTTAACTTTTAACAATGCTTTCTTAATGACGAATGAAATATATTTCTTGTTTCCTTCCTCAAAAAAAGAGCACAAATGCATTTAGTCTCGACAAAATCCAATTTGAATCTGATGTTCAGATTCAGTTCAACTATTTAATTGTCAGTGGACGCTTGGAACAACAGCGGACAACTTTCACCTGACTATAGTACAATTCCATAATAGTAGGTTCTAAACTCCCAAAAATATTTTATCATCATTTTTCCTCATCTGTTTAGTATAATTTCCGTACGCCACTGCAAGAGACAGATTGAGGCAAAAACGTCAGTCATTTCTGGGAATTTACTGTCTATTATAGAGCAACTGGGGTATAGCCCATATGCCCTATTATAAAATAATGGTTTGAATACTCTCTAGTTTTTATACGGAAATGAATAAATTTTAGTTGTCGTATAATATAACTGGTGACAAAAGTGATGTTTACTACCGTTTCATATGCGATTTCGGAGTTTATTATACAATTATTTCAGAAATGATCGTCAACTCATATAATCATCCACACTTTGCTGAAAATGTTGTTAAAAGACTATAAAATTGACACAAATATAATGATCTATACCATATTTTCTGATGTGTACAAAGTTCTGAATAAGTAATGAATTAAGAGTATTTGAACTAGTATTTGGAAGAGTTATTTGAAACCAGAAAACACTACTTCATGAGCTGAATGAGAAAATATATAGGTACTGTTTAATTTAGTTAGTATCCACAATCGTAACTTCGTGGAATAGCGCCGTTTGAAATCTTCCTTATTATCCTTTTTTTAAATCAGTTGTCTTCAGTTTTTATTTTTTCATTTTCAATTTCGTGTATCATTGACATTTCATTTATTTTTCACCCATTTTGATTTCATTCGTTTCATTCACAAAATAGCGTTCATATAATAATAATTCCGAAAAAATGGTTGGGTAACAGGATACATTTTTTCTTAAAAAAAAAATAATGGTTCTTTGCTTACGTTTCGAATTTGATTAAATTCTTCTTCAGGGCTCAAAAAGTAGTTTAAACGATCTATTGAAATATTTATTTGCCAGCAAACACTTTCCGACGAAGCATGAAAGGTACAAGTTATGGCATATTCCCAGAACCCGTACCAGATCTGAAACTCGTTAATCAGATACTGCTTCTCAGAGTTGGAGTATCGAACAAGTGAGTTGAGCCGTTTTTGCTAGGTTCAGCTATAACTCACGAAAGCCTTTGTTAGAGTCATAAGACTGGAAAAGCAATTAAAGATGGCAATCACTTCGCCACTTCGTTGTCAGTATACGAACGAGTGTTGAACATTCAAGTGACCTGCGGAAAGCGTTAATTTGTTGTTCCTATTAATTCAATGAGGTGGTCGTTTTTCATTTTTCAAACACATTCAATTATTTCCTGATACACTCAGTGCAATTCGATCGAACTTAATATAATGCAAGCATGGAGAACATTACTATAGAAAGATTTATCCTCTAAATGAATGACCACGATTCAGGAAAAATAGGTATAATTGAATAGAACTGGCCGATA